GTTCCAACCCCTCACCACTCCTGAGCTCTGAGCACTGTGTGGGGCTCACTAGAATCATGCAAGGTATGTCAAGCTTCCTCTTTGAATTGAACTTGGTTTCCTCTCCAGAAAGGCTCACAAACTCACCAAAACAGGATGAAAATGTTTCAAAAAGGTTCCTAGAGAAGGAAGGGTCTGAGTGGTCAGGGCCATTCTTGGAACAAAGCCAAGGGAAGCAGCTAAGTGTCTCGATCTGTTTGACTCTTCCTTCCTAGATGCAAGAAGTGAATTCTCAGCACCATCACCAGGCCTGCTGGGCATGCACAAGCCACGCCATCAATCTCACTCTCTCTTCCACCTCTCTTCTCGACCCCATTGACTTTTTAAACTAACACGTAATGACTTATTTATTTGAGTCACACCCAGTGGTGCTCAGGGGTTACTCCTGGCTCTGCACTCAGGAATTGCTCCTGGTGGTGCTCAGGAGACCATACAAGATGCTGGAGATCGAACCTGGGTCAGCTGCATGAAAGGCAAATGCCCTACCCACTGTACTATTGCTCCAGTCCCTATTTATTTATTTTTAATTTTGGGTCAGTGTTCTACACTCAGGGATCATTTCTGTCAGTGCTCTGGGACCATATAGAGCCAGCGATGGAACCTGGGTCAGGCACATAGAAGGCAAATTCTTTACCTGCTGTACTATCTTGTTGGTCCAATAATGACTTCTTTAATTCTAGAAATTCTCTCTCTCTCTCTATATATATATATATATTTTTTTTATATATATATTTTAGATTCCTTTTCAACCTGGGCTTCCTGGGCAATGAGCTAGCTATGAGACAAAAGCCTTTTTTGTGCTCTTTCTATGTGCCCACTGAGCCCTGTGAGATGGAGCCCTCAGGAGAGCCAGAACCCCTCAGGGAAGCAGGGGCTTGTCCTCCACTTCTACCACCCAAACACAGGGCTCAGCCCGTGGCACCAGCTGCATGTCGTCCTTGTCCTTTGGGGAAGGATGGCTGGATGCGGTTCAGCCCGGATCTGGGGAGGCCCTGGTAGAATATCAAACCTTAACCAAAACTGAGTTACAGACTTTGAAGACAAGTACCACTTAAGACATAGGAATTTTCACAGAAAAGGCCAACAGTGGGAAGTTTCCTTTTGAAAACTCATTTTGCTAACACGTCTTCCACCGCTGAGGTTCAGGCTCCTGCTCAGTCTGACAGATGTCACCCTCATACCCTTTACTTACTTCAAAGAACACAGAGATATAGGGAGCTGGAACAATACTACAGTGGGTAGGGCGTTTCCTTGCATGCGGCCGACCCGGGTTCAATTCCCAGCATCCCATATAGTCCCCGAGCACAGCCAGGAGTAATTCTTGGGTGCAAAGCCAGGAGTAACCCCTGTGCATCGCTGAGTGTGACCCAAAAAGCAAAGATAAATAAATAAATAAATATTTTTTTTAAAAAAGCCAGGAGTAATTCTTGAGTGCAAAGAACACAGAGATTTAATAGTACAAACAAACCAGCACCTTCATCAAGTACTACCATAGATCATCCTCCACTCCTAGAGGCAGCTACATCATGATAAATCCACCAGTGGATTTATCATGCATGGAACCCACCCAGTCTACTAAACTTCACAGCTTAGCCTACCTCGACTATCTTAAGCATATTCAGAACACCTGCATTAACCTTACATTTGTTGAACAAAATGATCTAACACGAGCCTATTTATAGGTAAAAGGTAAAGGCCCTCCCGTTGATCGTCGATTTGCTCGAGCGGGCCCAGTAACGTCTCCATTGGAGACTTTGTTGTTACTGTGTCTGGCATATCGAATACTCTCGGTAGCTTGTCGGGCTCTCCGAGAGGGACGGAGGAATCGAACTCGGGTCGGCCATGTTGGCCGCTTGTAAGGCAAACGCCCTACCCGCTGTGCTATCGCTCCAGCCCGGTTTGGGAGCCATACCCAATGGTGCTCCTGGATCAGTGCTCAAGAAATCATCAGGTCCAAGAAGCTCCTGAACTGAGCCTCCAGCATACAAAGCAGGCTCACTTCTGTGAGTTCTCTCCCCAGTCCAGTTTTATAATGCAATTTGATTTTTGTTAGTTTATTGGGCCATACCCATCTGTGCTCAGGGCTTATTCCTGGCTCTATGATCACTCCAGGCAGAGTCTGGTGCACGGGGATTCAATACAAGGTGGCCATGTTGAAGACAAGTGCCCTACCCACTGTACTATCACTCCAGTCCCTACGATGTAGTTTATTGAATATATCTACTGAAAGTGAAAAATGGCATTCAAAGTTTGAAGAGCAGTTCCTACTAAAAATATTTCACTTGCGCATCATCCAAGGTCAGACGTGAACCCATCATAGGGAGTGATGAATGGAGACTGTGCTCCCCATGAACACTTTGCCAGATGCAATGAGACAAAGCCTTAGCGCCAGTGTCTGAGTCCCTCTGGCATTGTTGAGGGGGCACTTCCAAGCAGCAGGTCTCCTGCTATGGGGGCCTCAGGAAGCACTTGCATTTCTAAAGGACAATTAATACCCATACATACTTCTGGGCCCTTGAGGGTACTCACTTTCCCCCTTAGCACTGCAATTAGACAGTGTGCAGTCAAGACTGGAAGTTGTTTTAAGACATCAGGAGCATAAATTAATTGTCATCACTGTTGGATGGAAGATAATGGCATTCATCCTGTAGTTTCCCTGTCATAAACACTTCACATATATGAATCTATTTCATTTTCTTTTCTTTTTTTTCTTTATGTGTCACACCCAGCTATGCACGAGGGTTACTCCTGGCTCTGCACTCAGGAATTACTCCTGGTGGTGCTTGGGGGGACCATATGGGATGCCTGGAATTGAACCCGGATTGGCTATGAGCAAGGAAAACACCCTACCCACTGTGCTATCTCTCCAGCCCCGAATGTATTTCATTTTTCACATAAAAATTATCAAGTAGGTAATGGTATTATCCTGTTTGGGGGCTGAGGAGGTGAAGCAGTGCTCAAGAGGCCCCAGGGGTCTCTCCCAGTCATTGGTCAACCAGGCCAGGTGCAATGCTTGGGCCCTGAAGTGCCAGGATCACCCTCTGCCCCTCCCCCACAATGGTGAGGGGCTGCAGGCCCACATCCAGCAGCACTGAAGTGGGGGGTGATCCAGAACTGCAACTGGGGACGCTTGGGGAACCATGTGGTGCTGGGTATGGAACCAGGGCTGGCTGCATGCAAGGGATGTGCCTTAACCCCTGTACTATCTCTCCTTCCCTCTCTCCACTCTTCAAAACAAGAAACCGAAGCAAAGCTTCAGGACTCAAACCCAGGTCTCTGATTACAGTTTATTCTCTTATTCGCCAAATATTTCTGCCTGTTGTGACTCATATTTTCTACCCTTGCTTTCCAAATGAAGCTAAAACCGACAATCTCAGGTGAAATACAACCTTTATCTGCAAGATGCTTAGTGAAGTTCAACTGTTGCATCTCCACCCAGCACCTAACTTGCTCTTCAGAATACTTTCCACCCACTCCTTCGAGCCATTGGTCCCTGATAAACAACAACAAACAGAGATGCCCTTGATTTTTTGCTCCCCTCGCTCTCTGGGGACCAGATGTCCCTGGATGACATGATACCAACTGTGCAGGGATGGTGGAAGTCCAAAAAGAGAGAAGAAACTCCACAATATACATAGAGTCGAGACCATATACCTTGGTCTTTTGGCCACAGACACTATTTGTAAAGGAGAGAAACAATTCTAACATGAAGGTAGCAGATTCACTGTGTAGCACGCACAGAAGCATGACATTATCAGCAACGCCCCAATCATAAAACTGAGTGGAACCCTAGCCCCCAAATGTCTCCCTACAAACTAAAACGCCAATGAAGTATATTTCTTGGCATTCCGTACAGTGAGGACACTGCTTCTCTGTCTGGTCATAAGATTGGTGGGCACAGTAAAGTACTGCAGGACCCCGGCGAGGGCAAAAGCCACCTTTGACAAGGTCAGGAGCACTCATGGAGCGACACCAGCGCCCACCACAGTACACACCTCTATAACATCTGCTTTGTCCTTGAAGTTAGTGCCTCAACTGCACACCCATTTTCCTCTTCCTCTTGACCGTGGCTTAACCTAAGCTCTCTTCCCTGCAACCAATCACCACACAGCCACAGCTGGGGCCACAGATGAGTGTCCCTGCACCCCAGGTGGGCTGACCTGAGAGCCACAACCCACACCGGCGCACAAGAACTTCCACGGCTGCGCACTGCCCATGCTTTGTGGTCCTCTGTCCCTGGAAACACGCGGGATGAATCAGTGGGAGAGGTCACCACTAAATGCTGGCAGCCCAAATTCGTGCCAAGTAGACTGAACATGCTCAGGAACCCACAGCCTGGGTGTCAGTGGTTTCTACCAAGCTTTGAGGAGAATCCAGCACAGGGGCCCAAGAACCTGGAAAAGCCACAAGGGCCAGGTGGCAAATCCGGTCATTTTAAAGCATGGCCATGGGTGCAGCGGCACAGGAGGAGACAAGACACAACAAACATCAGAGCCCCAAGGTCTCAGGGGCCAGGTTGAGGGCAGCAGAAGGCCCAGGGCCGGCAGGGGGCTGTTTCCACCCAAAGCCTGAGCAGGCCTCCCGCTTCAACAGGTGCCCCGTGGGAGGGCGGCCCCGTGGACCGTGACCCAGGCTCCACAGACAAAGCTCCCTCCGTGCTGATGTGCCAAGGGTCCGCCGCCCCACCCCCCGCCCAAAAAAACACACCAGACCCACGCCGCAGTCCCAAGACCACAACCGCCGGTGGGCGTGAGAACGGGCGTGACCTTGCCCGGGACTCCAGCCCGGCACGGCGCATCGCGTGCGGGTGCGGGGAGAGCCCCGCAGACAGATCCGGCAGTGGCCGTCGTCCCTCAAGGACACCGGCAGGGACTGGAGCAGTGTCCCGGGGTGGGGGTCCCCCCAAGCTCCAGGTCCAGGGCTCCCCGCCCAGCCCCGCGCCCTCGCTCCGCCTCACTCACTAGCGCAGCGCAGCGCCCGCCGCAGCACCTCTCGTCCGCACAGGTCGCACCAGCCCCGGCTGCCCCGCAGCGCCAGTTCCGCGAAGCGATGCCCCTCGCCTCGCTCCTCCGGAACGCGGGGGTCCTGCGGCTGCTCGAAGATGCTCCGCACGTCGCGGGGCCGGGGCGCCCCGGGGCGTCGCCGGAGTCTCTGCTGCAGCCCAGGCCGGAGAGGGCGAGCGGATCGCGAGGCCCGAGGAGGCTGGGGCTCCGGGTCCCCCCGGGCAGCCCTCCGGGCACCGTGTCCCTCGTGCGCCCCGGGCGCGGCGGCCGTGGGCGCGGGGACGCATCGGCGCGGGGAACGGCCGGGGGTCGCGGCGGGTTCGGGCGCGCCCAAGGTCTGCAGGTAGCGCGGCGGCTCCGGGTCCAGGAGCAGCCGGTACGGGCGCTGCCCGATGGCCGGGGACGCCATGGCCATGGCCAGCGGGGTTGCAGCTCCCTCCTCCCGAGGTGGCCTCGAGAGAAGGGCGGCCACGGCCGTGCGCGCCTTTAAAGGGACCGCAGCGCGCAGGGCGGGACGGGGGCGGGGAGACGGGTGGAGGGGACGGACCGAGGGGGCGGCCCCGCACAAGGGGGCGCCTGCGCGGGTGTGCGGAGAGGCCAGGGGAGGCTGAGTGGACCTGGCGGCCGCTGCGGGGTTTCTGGGGCTCAGCACACCGCGCAGGTCCGAGAGGCGTTTCCGTAGGGCATTGCTTTCGGCCCCGTTCCGGCTCCCGGCATCCTCCCCCCAACGTCAGGCGCCCCCCCCCCCCCCCCCAGCACACACACCCCAGTCTGCCCAGCTCTCCCCGGGGCACCTGTCCCCCTCCCAGCCCAGGGCCGCGCCCCCGCGTTGCCGCCCGCGGACACGGTCCAGGCTCCTGGCGCTCAGCCGTTGGCACGCGCCACTCAACAACTTGGGTTCAGCTCCCAGCTGCCCGCAGGCCTGAGCATCCGTCTTCCGGAGACTCGGGTTCGATGTGACCGTGCTCATCAGAGTTTGTCTCCAGCGTTTCTCTTCATACGCACTCACCTGGGAAACAGCAACCCTTGGCGCGCTGGACCTACGAGGGACGGGTCAGTGGCGGGACCCTCACCAGTCCCATCCCTTTCAGTTTAATGCGCTGCTCCCGACGTCTGGGAAGTTTGAGCAGCTTTTAAGCCGAAGGGCCAGGGTTTTCTTCGTGCACACAGTCCCGCCCGTTCTGTACCGGGTGCCAGCGCCTTTGCCCGAGGAGATGACCCTGTCTCCTGGACTGGAAACAGGGCAGATGCCTCCTGGTCTTTGAACTGTCTGTTGGGTCCCAGACCAACGGGGAGCTAGCGCCCTCTCCAGTCTCTGCCGTTTTATCAAGGGGTCACGGGTCTGTGATGGGGATCACGGGGCTGCGTTCCCCATCCTCCTGACCTAAGGAACACTTCTGGTCCTCCGCAACACTCTGGCACCTGTTTGGTGGGTTTATCAAATGTCACCTGCAACCAATTTTGAAAACAGTCTACATTCTCCTTAGATCTCGGGCTCTCCTCTTCTCTGGCCAGAGACGGGTCTCCCCCTGCTGTCGGGAAAGGGTACATTCCATTTGTCTTTTGTTTTCCCCTTAGAGGTAATTTAGGTAATTCCTAAGATCTCTGCAGCACCGGGGTCAGGGAGTTCCCCACCATCTCTGGACCTGACCACCAGTCACTGCTTGGGCAACCAGTGTTCTGTCTCAAGATGCTTTCTGAAAGGATGGGAAGTTTTTCCAGAAGCCAGCCCTGGTCTCCACAAAACAAGAGTTGGGATGGGGGAATTATGGATCACAAGTCATACCCTCCACCTAGTTCACTCCTGCCTGGGCCTCACTTTCTCCCGCTCTGTGGCTTCCAGACATTGGCAGTTAACACAATCTCCAGTTTGTTCTCAGTGACAGTATGTCTGGGGTTGGGAGTAGATTCTGCATCTTTCATAAGGCCTCTGTCCCAGTATTGCTGGGGGATGTACAGAGGGCAATGCAGAAGAGGTTGGCGGTCACTTTCTACAGGGAACACTGGCCCAAGGCCTGGCTGCAATGCTTGAGGCCATCAGGGTCACCCTGAGGTACTGTGTTTGTGAGGGGGGTGCTATGCAGTGTTGAGGATCAAACTTAGGGTCTCTCACATGTCAGAAATATGTTCGATTCCTTTAACCCATACACCCAGCCTGAATTATTGTGGGACAATACCCAGTTATACTCATAGCTTACTTCTGGCTCTGTGCTCAGGAATCATTTTCAGGGATGCAAAGTGGACCATGTGGGGTTCAAAGGATCAAACCCAAGTCAGCCACGTGCAAGACAGGTGCTTTTCCTACTGTACTATATCTCCAGCCCCTGAATTTTGCATTTTTCACCATTTCCTAAAAGATGTTGATGTCCCTGGTCCAAGGAAACCTCTTGAGAGCCACTGCTGTGGATTTAAAGCAGTGGCAAGAGCCCGGGAGATAGATGTTGTAGGGGTGAGGGTGCATGCCTTGTTGGTGCACATATGATACGCTGTGCACTTCTGTGGCAGCCCCAGAGGGCCCAGCGCTGCAAGACCTGACCATCCCACAGATGGAGGCCCTCACACTGACCCACCGGCATGGTTAACCGAGAATCTCCAGGAGAGCCCCCAGGGTTCCCTGAGCACTGCTTGGGAACCCCCCCAATAAAATAAAACTGTTATTTTCCCATGGAAAATAACACTCTGGGGGGCATCGCTCAGGAAAACCCACCGGGAGGGGCGTTATTGCAAAAGTTCAATTTGCCTTTGTGGCCTTTATCTCCTTCTCTCCCATATTTTTTTCTACAAGCATTTCCCCCAGAGCTGGTGTAGAAACCTGGGCTGCTTGTACATATTTGGTGTTTCACCCACTGTTATCCAGTCATTTCCACAGGCTGCAGACTCCTTGCATCCCCCCTGCCCAGGAACCTAGGTGGTGTCCAGGGTGTAGACCCATCTTAAGTTCTACATGACGGTTTTGTGTGGCAAGAAGGTCTAGTAAAGAGTGGAAGGGTCATTTTGAAATGTGGAATCACCATCAAGAACCACCATCTCTGTCCCTCCTGCCTCCCCTGCCTCCAAGCATGAATTTGGGCTGCCCAGACCTGGTGGTGTGGATAGGGGAATTACGGATTAGGGTCTCCTCTGGCTCTTGGAAACTGAAGACTCTGCAGTCACTGTCACTGTCACTGACGCTGTCTTCCTGTTGTTCATTGATTTGCTCGAGCAGGCACCAGTAACATCTCCATTGTGAGACTTGTTGTTACTGTTTCTGGCATATTGAATACGTCACGGGTAGCTTGCCAGGCTCTGCCATGCGGGTGGGATACTCTCGGTAGCTTGCAGGGCTCTCTGAGAGGGACGAAGGAATCGAACCCAGGTTGGCCGCGTGCAAGGCAAACACCCTACTGGCTGTGCTACCAGGCATCATCTCTTCACGGTGATGGTCTGGTTTTTGTTTTCCTGCCGCAGCTTTGATTTGGAGGCGAGGTGGAGGCCACACTGAAGCCGGGAGGAACCCATGGCTGGCCAGAGCCTCCACTTGCCTCCTGGGATGAGAGAAAAGGTGAAAATATGAAAAAGGAGATAACAGACCTTTAACTTACCAAGAAAAGTTTATTAAATGTATTTTGAGATTCATTTCCCTGCACCAAGAAATTGTTGTCAAGGGAAGGAATCCCCTCCCAGGTCCCAGCAGAAGCTCCCGTCTTGGGACTTGCTGCCCTTCTTCCCAGCACCTCATCCCTCCCACCACACCCCCATCTCTCCTTCTGCAGGGAAGAGTGTTAAATAAATGAGGCTTCTCTTTTGGAAAACAGTATGGACACTTCTCAAAAAATTAGAGCTCCCATTTGACCCAGCAATACCACTTCTGGAAATATATCCCGGAGGTGCAAAAAAATATAGCAGAGATGACATCTGCACTTGTATGTTCATTGCAGCACTGTTTACAATAGCTGAACTCTGGAAAAAAACCCGAGTGCCTGAGAACAGATGACTGGTTAAAGAAACTTTGGTACATCTACACAATGGAATACAATTGTTAGAAAAGATGAAGTCGTGAAATTTGCATAGAGGTGGATCAACATGGAAAGTATCATGTTAAGTGAAATGAGTCAGAAATAGAGGAATAGACAGAAAGATTGCACTCATTTGTGGAATATAAAGTAACAGAATGGGAGGGGGTATGGTGCTGCCAGCAGGTCAATCTGTACCTGTGAGGTGAGTGCATCAGCAGCCTGATGGCAACGTCAGACTTTCAGATACCCCCAAATTGCTGCTGTGCCTTTGGCCAGACCCCAAAAACTTGGGGCAAAGTTTACCAAGAAAGTAAATGGCCAAAAGTTAGGTATGTGGGAGACACACCCATAAACCACCTCCGGCTCAGCTATATAATTGGAGGCATGGCCTCTCTGGTTCATGATCATGCTTAATGGCCATGATTCCAGAGACTCAGAAACGAATCTCGGAACCCAAAGGCTTTTGTCAGAAATGCGCCCTGTTCCTGTAGTAGGTTACTGGCACTGGGCCACTCCAGGTGGGTATAGGTTTCGTACTTGGCCTATTCCCCCTGGCGGCCTGGTGACCACCATCCTCCATAGGCCACTTGGACAGTCACTTTTGGGCCTGCAATGACGAGACACACGGGGCTTCACCACATGGAGCCGACCCTTTCTCCCCATCCCAACGAGACCCTGAGTCGCTGCCTACAAATGGCCTCTCTGGCTCCTGATCAAGCTGATTAATAGCCATAATACCGGAGACTCAGAAACAAATCTTGAAACCCAGCGGCTTTTGGCAGAAATGCATCTGGACTGCATACAAGGTGGCTGCCGGCTCAGAGCTTATGAGCTGGCGGTGACGAGGCAACTACAGTCTCATGGGAAGGGGGGGCGGTACCGGCTTGTCCTTCATGCCCTACTGAGGTCATGAGTTGCTCCCACAAGCAGCTCTCTGGCATGGTTATGGCTCCAGAGGCAAAAGGACTTAATCCAGAACCCGGCAGCTTGTGGCAGAAAAGTGAATGAACCATGCGTTAAACTACGGCGCCATGCCTCCCCAGGAGGGAAAGGGTGTTGCTCCCTTCCGTCTTTTTCCCCCTTGGCAGCAAGGTGGCCACCGCCTCAGAGCTTATAGGAAAGCCAGGTACAAGCCGACGGTGACGGGGCAACTGCAGTCTCATGGGAAGTGGGGGGAAGTACCGGCACGTCCTTCATGCCCTACCGAGGTCACGAGTTATCCCCCACGAGCGGCTCTCCAGCAGGGCCATAACACCAGACACACAGAAACCAATCTCGTAATTATCTGGCTCTTTGCAGAAATCCAAAATCGTGGCCGCGTGACATTATATGATTCTCATAACCAGCTATAGAAAACAAAATACTTCACAATGCCTTTTCAGCAATTCTGATTGTTTGGGGGGAAACTCTAAACAATAACGGTGCATCTTTTGTCGAAATAATGAATGTAATCAATGTAGAGAAGAGTTAAGTAGAAATCATCTGCATCACAGGC